TATATATATATATATATCTTAAAAAGAGAAAGAAAAAAGCATGAATTGGGTAGGTAGGGTGGTGGAGAGCAATCTAGGATAAATTAGGGAAGCAAAAAATATGATCAAAATATACAAATGAAAAAGATTTTTCCAGTAAAAAAAAAAACACTAAGAAACAACAACAACAACAAAGAAATCAAACTAGCCAAAATCCCAGCGTAAATAGGGGCTCAACAAAATCCTAACCCTAATTTGACAGGTTCAAGTTAACTGACGGCTGCCATGGGAGAGTCAGCTTTCAAGAATATAACCCCTTATAGTTGTGAACACAATGACAGAACTAACTGTTGGCTCAGTGGGTTTAGAAAAAGAAAACACATGAAATCTGGAAGAAAAGGTGGTAGTGCAGAATGGAGAGGAGTTCAAGGAGAAGGAATTGAGGAGGACTTGATTAAAACGCAGTATATGCATGCATGCATGAAATTCTCAAACCAAAAAAAGCCACAATTTAATTTTTATTGAATATGAAACATTTTACTAAATACTTACTAAGAGTCTGCTCTAGTAAGCTACTTATAATATAGTAAATGTACATTAGATCATCAAGGAAAAGGAATATATTATTTGATACTGCAAAGTATTTGACTAATATTCCCTTTGAAAGTAAAAGAAAAACATATCAAATATGTTCTCCTATATCAGGGAAATGTTTCTGAAAAGCTTATTACCTTTGGTATGCTCACATTAGCCTGCAGACCTTTAATTGTCACATTATCTTGCTTTGTTGTAACATTTGTCTGAATTTGTCCCTGGTTAGTTGTTCCTATCACAGGATGCTCAGTTTTTGTTCCTCGAACATCTTGCTTAGGGGACAACTGAAAGGATTGAGTAGGAATTATTCTCCAGACATTTCGTAGGTTATATAACATCCACACAGCCATGATTATTCACTATATTGCTACACCTCCCCCAGTCTACGTGACATCAACTATCCTAAAACTCAATCTTGAAATTCAAGCAAAAGCTGGCAAATAGACCAGCTTGTCATTCTGAAAAAATACTATACAATAAAATTAAATCCACCTATGGAGAAACAAAGATGGCAACAGTATATTTTTATAATAAGTTGTTGTTGTTGTATTAATTTTAGGCAAACTGAACTCAACAGTCTTGAAGGCTGACTTTATTTCTGCCAACTGGCTCCTTGTTGACTGGGAATAATTCAAATTTCCTTTTTTAATACTGCTCTTACTGCTCTACCCTAACTAACTGAATGTAGCACATGAAAGGCCAACATAGGAGGAGTAATAATGGGTTCACCAGAAATACTCAGGCTCACTTTCACATCTACTTGGTACTAATTTACATATGATATAGATAAACTTGAGAATCAAAAGAGAATCATCAAAAGAGCACCACATTGTGACTGCTAAGCAACTGGTGTCACAGCCAGGATAACAGCAGAAGTGCCACAGGAGAGAGTTACTCCAGTCACTGAGGTGAACAAGAAACAACACAAAAATAAAAGGAAGTTAAAAATATGTGTACTTTTGGTTCTTAAAGCACTAAAATATTAATTCTAAAGAATGTTTATCACAGGGATGGAGAAATGCTCAGCATTTATGGACATATACTGCTCTTTCTGAGTATCACAAATTTAAAACAAAATAAATCTTAAAATTGTTCTCACCACTTAAGGACAGGGCTTGTTTAAAAAGATTTAGAACTAAGCTATTTTCAAAATAGAAGAAAAAAAAAATAAAGCTGTGATTTTTAAGTAGAACTACTTAATCCACAGTAGTTATTTGTGGTACATTTCAATTGAACTTATTGATAAAATTTGATACATTCAAGTTTTTCAAGTTGGCATATTCTGACACATGGTGAATATTCAACTTGCTATGCCCATTGAATCAAAAACTTCTTACATTTTCTGAGAAGGTAGTCTTACTATTTTGGACAGCTTCTCTAAGGACTTTGGTGTGAAGATCATCTACAATTGCAGCTGGGTGCCGGGTACTAGCACAGTGAACCATAGCTTCAATATATCTGATGAAAGAAAAAGATCAATGAAAAATTAAAATTTCATTTACTATTATGACCTATTTTACCAGACAGTGAAACTTACCACCGTCTGAATATTTACAATTCTTCAATACAGAAATGCAAAATCCTCAATTATATCTTTAGAAATTCTACAGGGAAAATATTACTGAAATTTTTAGGCCTACCATCACTCCCAAAACCCTGAGATTGGGTAGGAACATTTGCCCCCACCACAAACAATGTTCAACATTTTCTACAGACTTCTACCTTACACTAATATCTGAAACTTAGTTTTTTAATTTATTCTTACCTGATATACAAAAACATTAGGATTGTACATACTAACAAATTACTATGCAGATACTACGAATCTAATTTATTAAAGGTGAAAATTTTAAAAATCCCTTCTTCTGTGCACACCAGAGCTTCTAACTGTAACTCAGTACTAGTCAATCAACATTCCTCTGCCCCTTCTCTCTCCAACTGGACTCTGGTAATCACTATTTTACCATTAAAATTCAGAGACTAAACTGTTTCAGATTCATATGAAGAAATGATGTAAAATTTGTCTCTGCCTGGCTTATTAGATTTAACCTATTGACATTCAGTTCCATTAACATTGTCACAAATTACAGGATTCAATTGTCTTATGGCTAAACAGTATTCCACAATGCAAATGTAACAAATTCTGTCAGTTAGTGGATATGGGTCATTTCCATCTTAGTTACCGTACAGAGTGTTGGTGCATATGGAAGGAAGATGTTTCTTCAACATACTACTTTCATTTTCTTTGCATATACACCCACTAGTAGGGTTGCTGAATCACAGTAGTGTTGTCTTTTGCTTGTGAGGAACCTCAATATAGAGCTGTATTAACCTACATTTCCATAAACAATGGTCATTCTTGCTGGGGTGAGGAAATATCTCACTATAGTTTTAACTGGCATTTCCTCAGGGATTAATAATTTTTTCATAATCCTGTTGGCATTTATACATCAATACTGAGAAATGTCCTCTTAGGTCTACTATCTATATTTAATTTTTTATTTAATTTTTTAAAATATTGCTAATAGTGATTTTTGGTATTCCTAATATATTCTAAATATCCATCTTTTGTCAAATGTTTGATATATCTCCCATTCTGTGAAGAATGTCTCCAGTCTGCTAAAACTTAATTTGTTGTAATACCATTTATCTACTTTATTTACTTATCTATCTATTTATTTAGCTATGATTTCACCACACACACACAAACCCCACAAGTAAAGAATTCTTGTACATTTTAATGTCCTAATCTCTCCACTGTCCATTTTGTGTGTGGGAGGGGTAGTTTAACATTACAGGTATTCTACTTAGGTTGTTAATACATTCTCAGTCGGTAGTTTTGTTTTCTGAGACAGGGTCTTGTTTGAAGTTACCCACATTGGCATCGAGCTCATGATTCTCCTTCAGTCTCCCAAGTGCTGTGCACAAAGACATATGCCACCATACCTGGCTTCTGAGTTATTTTTAAACCAGTAAGTCTCCTAGACAACTTTCTATATTCTTCATTAGTATGATATTTTACAAGAATCTTGACAATTTATCAGAGAAAACTATGTACTCCAGTAAAAGGAGTATTTTCATGAAAACTGGTCCTGAGTCTTTTCTGAACTTCTTTATTTTTACACAAGTTGCATTCTAATTTGTTTCACTTTGGCTTTTACTTGTGTCAATTGTATCTCCTTAAATAGACTACTCAGACCTCACAGGACAGAATAACTATTATTTTCCCTTTATCTCTTCAATTAACTAGGAAGAATATGAAATAATTACTTCACAAGCATTTGATCATTTTATGCTTGTTAGTCCAAATTTAAAAGAAAATATATTGTAACTATTATAACACTGACAATATATTTACCCTGTATTTTTACTCAAAACAACTAATTAATAAACTCTTAAATGAACACTATCACATTTTCACATATCGTATAAAATATGTCACTTTATAAAGCAGTAGTTCTATTTTTAGACAAATACCTGTCTAAGGCTTCAGCCACCAGTGGAGTCAGAACAACATCAACAGTTCCTTTTACTTCAACAATGGCTGTTGTCTTGGTCTGAGCAACAGGCTGGTCCAGAGTCCACTCTTCTGTTAATGTTTCATCATCTGTATTATCAATAATTTTCTTGTCTAATGGAGTATATGGTGTGCTGTACAGTTTAACCAGAAAAGCAAATATTTAAAAGAATATAAACAATAAGTTAGAGCTTCCTTAAAGTACATAAACATTTTAATTACATTTATCTCAATGAAAAAATCTCACAGACTAATATTTCACATCTAAACACTTTCCAAAAGCAGGGCAAATGAGGTACTAAAATGCAAAATAGCCAAAGATGTCAATTATATCACATAACAAAAAAATATTTTTTATATTTGTTTACGTGATAGTCCTGTCCTAAAATGTGCAAACATATTATTTATCTACTCCTACACAAAAATTATTTGAGGTAATTTATTCTTAAAGTAGGCCTAAAATCAAGTACAAAATGGTTATTACTCAGAATAAACTCTACTAATCTCATAATCAAAAAGGACTATGACTCTGAGCTTTAAAAATGCAATTTTAAGGCACCTCTAGTCCTAGCTGCTTGAAGACTAAGGCAGGAAGATTCCTTTAGCCCCAGAATTCAAGGGCATGCTGGGTAACATAGTAAGAGGCTGTGTCTAAAAATTAAAATAAGATTATAAACTCTTACTTTGAAGTTGATCCTGAAAGTTGCATCCCTCTGTCTAGCAAAGAATTAGCAGTGAGTCCCTGTTTGATGACCTAGAATAGAAAAAATGCTATTTATAGTCTAAAATTTTAATTATTTCTTCTTATGATAAGCAATATTTGTGAATATTCAAAGTAACCTTGCTATTGTAATCTTAACATATTCAATATAAATATTTAACAGAAAATATCCAATGAATAACTGTAGACGGAAGTTTCTGTCCTGCCTGTTACCACAGCCATTCAATCCCAACAAAATACACGGAGGCTTATATTAATTATAAACTGTTTGGCCTATTAGCTTAGACTTATTATTAACTAGCTCTTACAATTTAAATTAATTCATAATTCTTATCTATGTTTAGACATGTGGCTTGGTACCATTTCTCAGTGCAGCATTTTCATCTTGCTTCCTCTGCATCTGGGTGGCATCTGCAGACTGAGCCTTTCCTCTTCCCAGAATTCTCCTAGTCTTGTCGCCCCACCTATACTTCCTGCCTGGCTACTGGCCAATCAATGTTTTATTAAACCAAAAAGAGTGACAAATCTTTATAGGGTACAACATCAAGTAACTTCGTACTTTATTCAAGTAAGTGACAGAGTTGTGAGGGTGGAATGAGAGAAAGACATGACTGAAACAGGAATTTCAAATGTCTTTCCTCCATGAGTTCTTTTTGACACCTAGTTAGTTCTTTCTGAAGCTGATTTCCGTCTTCTCCTAGTATAACTACAAGACACAATGAACCATCAACCACACACATGAAAGTCTAGATGACCATTGTCTTTGCCTGTAATCCAGAGGCCCTAAGTCTGATTCTCATCTTCAATGATTCCTCCTTCTTCAATTTTCAGTTAAAATACTATGCCCTGGGCTGGGGAAAAATACTTGCTACATGATCTGAGTTTGTGTCCCTAGTACCCACGTAATAAGATGGGCTTGGAAGCTTGTGCCTACACAGCCCGAATAATGAGTGTAGTGGAAGACAGATAGATCCTGGGAGTTCAATGGTCAACTAGTCTATCCAAAAAGGCAATCTCCAAGTTGAGTGAGACGTCTACCCTCAAAAATAAGGTGAAGAAAAATGTAATACACACATACACACACAAAAATGATTAGCAAACACTGTTCACTAGGTCCTCAGACTTTATATACCTTTAACATCATAAAACTTTGTCTTATAGTACATTGTTTAAAGATAAGAATTTTCACACTGGCTATTATCACTAAATATAGTTTGAAATGTTTCTGATTTTTCTAAAGTCATTTAAGAAACCACATTAAATTATAATAGTTCAATCATTAACTGAGTTGAACTGAAAATACCAGAAGCTATAGACCAACAGAAAATTATTCCTAATCATTATTCAAATAATTCCAAAATCTTATTTTTTAAATCTTTTAATTATGTATATATTATATGCATATGATAAGTATATTATATGCATATATAAGTATATCTATGACTGTGTGTATGTGTGCATGAGTAAGGTGATTGTGAAGGTCAAAAGAGACCTGAATCCCCAAGAGCTGGAGTTACAGGTGGTTCTGAGTCAACCATGGGTGCTGAAAATAGAAATCTAGTCCTCTAGAAGAATATTATGCACTCTTAACCAGTAAGGCATCTCTCTAGTCTCCAAAATCTTACTTTTGTTTTTTTTTGTTTTTTGAGACAGGGTTTCTTTGTAGCTTTGGAGCCTATCCTGAAACTAGCTCTTGTAGACCAGGCTGGCCTCGAACTCAAAGAGATCTGCCTGCCTCTATCTCCCAAGTGCTGAGATTAAAGGCGTGTGTCACCATCACCCAGCCCAAATTCTTATTTTTAAAACACAGGAAATATGAACTCACAGAGGAGATTTGATCCTAATCTTAGGAGTACTGGAAATGTAGATTAGCCTACATATTACTTTACTACACTAACAATATGAAACCTTAAGCCATTTTCAATTCAATTCGTTTAAATTTATAACACTCACAAAAAAAACCTGTAACCTAACTGTTAAAAAGAGTCATTTACAACAGAAAGTCTATATTTTAGAAAGATAGCTAAAATGACTCAGTAGTTCTGAAAACTTTACTATATAAGTATGTTAATAGGAAATAATGATTTGATTTGTACCTTAAATGTCGGAACAGAAAGTTGTTCAAATGATGATGAGCTTTCTTCACTGGTTGGAGTATCTAGGTCAAGAGGGCGATGCAATGAGGACTTGGAGGTTCTTTTGTTGGTAGGATGTTTAACAGACCAGTTAATTACCTGAAACTGAGTAAGGTAAGTCTGATAGCAATTCATCACAGGCTGTTGAGACGTGATCTGCTCACTCTCTCCTGTTTTCTCACCTTCCACAACGTACAGATGTTCTATGACTTCATCTTCACCACCTAATGCAGAAACAAAGGAAGCCTGCGAAGGATGAGTTTTGAATGGAAGAGTTCGGGGGTCTGTAATGCTTTCTCCATGAACAGTAAGTGGTCCTTCTACACTGTGATATATGGAACCCCTACTGTAGTCAATCTGTTGCATTTGCTTTTTCTTCTTTTTTCTACCAGGGTAAGTTCCAGGACCTTCATCACTGCTAATGGGCTCAAACTCTTCAGCTGCAGAGAAGTAGGCTTCACTATCAGCCATTGACATACTGGAATCCATTGACCGATACTGATGAAATGAATTAGAGTCAGCTGATGGTGTGTATGGGAATGAACCAAAACTTCTCCTCTGTTTTGGTGAGTCTAGCACATTCTCATCACTTCGAGAGACATCACTACTAAACTGGACTCCAACTGTAACAGGCTGTTTGTCTCCATAAAAAGCAGCAGTGAGGCTCTTAGTACTACCAAGTCGGGTGGAACACACAGAGGCTTGCCGCTTCAAAGGAGATCGAAGAGGAGACTGTCCTACTGACTTGTCTTGGGTGTTAGGAGATACAGGACTGGTTCCTGAAATTTCTGTAGGAATACTAAAACAGAGAGGAAAATTGTTTTGATTTTCAGCCCACACACAATTTAAACATAAATTACTTATAAAATCAGTTTAGTAATTTTGATCTTTTTACAAATAAAACAAAATCTAGAATTATATGTAATATTGGTTTAAAACAGCAAAATATTACATGAGTTCATATTCCCCATAAAGCTAAAAAAAGAAAAAAATAGAACCATAAAACAAAAACAAAGCATCTTAAAAATTTAAAGAAGACAAGGAACAATAGCACATTTATAGGGTTTTTATTCCCACATCTTCTAAAAGCTTATCCAGCATTAGACACTTAACAGTGTTTGTTAAAGTCAAGGGAAGGAGAGGACTAGAGAGATGGAGCAGGGTTTAAGAGTGCTTTCTGCTCTTGCAGAGGATCTGGCACCCCCTTGAGAGCTAACAACTGCCTATGACTCAACTTTCAGAGGACTTTGTACCCTTTTCTGAACTCCAGGGGCTACTATACAGATGGGTACAAACAGAATTACACAGGCAAACATATACACATACATACATATATTTATACACACACACACACCTGCCCACTCTATCAGCCGTGTGCCTCTAGGGTAGTGGTTCTCAACCTGTGGGTCACAAACCTTTGGAAAGTCTCTATCTCCAAAATATTTACATTATGATTCGTAACAGTAGCAAAATTATAGTTAAGTAGAAATAAAAATAATTTTATGGTTGAGGGTCACCACAGCATGAGGAACTGTATTAAAGGGTCACAGCATCAAGAAGATTGAGAACCACTGCTCTAAAAAGCTGTACTAAAACAATAATTTTAATGACTCTGAATTGAAGGTCTCTATGAAGCATCCAAACAGAAATATCAAGGTACCTAGGCTGGAGAGACAAAGGTTTTGACTATAGTTTTTACATTTGAAAGATGTCAAGCAAGGATAATTCAAAAGGAGTGTTCAACTGTTAATGTGCTAAGAAGACCAAAAAATGTTCAACAAATAAGAAGGACAGTATATGAATAGTAACAAAAATTCAATGAGTGGTAGAATAAGAAATATTTTCATTATAAATACATCATTGTATTTTCTGATGGTTGCAAAGAAAATATTAATTTTATTTGGAAAGACAAACTGACATAAATGTATGTTCAAGAAATAAAATATAAAATGAATGAGTGGCGAGGAAAGAAGTTTCTTGTGCTAGTATACTTAAGTAATTATAATCCAGTCATCATCAAATTTCTAAGTCTATCTGAATACTAACCTTGCTTGGCCATCATCTCTTTTGGTACCATGTAAGAAATCTTTCTGAGCCAAGTGGTCCTCAGCGACAGAAGAGGGGCTTTCCTTCTCAGCAGCCAGCAAGGGCTGCGCAGCGCTGGAGCTGCTGTTCTCCTCTGAGGAAGAGGATGAACTGTGGGACCGTAAGGGCACCTGAAGACTAAGGTGCTGAGCTTTCCTCTCCACTTCTATTCCCACTGATTTGTTTTCCCATTCCTTCCTCTTTGTACCATTCACATTACCTAAAAAAATAAAATGTGAACTAAATGACTGCAAACATTTTTGAAGAAATATATGAAAAATATAGCAATTTACTATAACTACATTTTAAAATATTGCTCTGTTTTAAAAGCACAAGTGTTTAACTTCACGTAGTAACATGTTACACATTACAAAAAGTTGTCTACAAAATTCTGGATCCACAGTCTATAATATGTAAATTTTAGTTTTTTCTTCTTTAATCTTTCATGTAAAGACTTTGAAGACTAAGAGTAGATTAGTAGAGAATGCGCTAAGGACATGGAAACCAGCAGTTTGATCCCCAGCAGGCATATGCATGTGCGTACACCTTATGCACACAATTCACATTTACAGAAACTTTAATATAAGAGCATCATGTATTTCACATTAGTTCACTTGTTTTAAACATTTTCCTGTGAAAGTTGAATAGGAGCAGAGACTATATTATCTTCTATTCACTAATATATTTCCAGTGTCTAGAACAACCTTAAACACAAAGCAATAAATGGATACATAAATAATGAATTCAGAGCTAGAGGACATCAGCCCTTATGTCAAAGTTTCCTAAGAGCCCTTTAATGTGCTACAAAAATGAGGGAGCAGGCACTAAGAGATAAAAGAATAGCTCTTTAGCTGAACAGAACCCCCATAGCAGAAAATTCGCTCAATTTCCCCTCTCCACCAGTCCTCCCTGAACTACTCAAAAGTTACCTCTGCTAGTAAACAGAAATTACACTCTCTAAAGAGAATGCAGTTCCAAGTGAAACTCAAGGAGGGCAAAGATAATGCAAACTAGTACAGATGCTATGGTAATCAATGACAGTTGGGAACTGATCTACCTTAAGACCCAACTATACCACTTCTGGGCATATACCTAAAGGACACGCCATCCTACCACAAAGACACTTGTTCAACCACGTTCAGAGTAGCTTTATTCATGATAATCAGAACCTGGAAACAAACTAAATGTCCCTCAACTAAAGAATGGATAAAGAAAATGCGGTACATTTATACAATAAAGTATTGCTTAGCTGTTAAAAACAATGGTGTCATGAAATTTGCAGGCAAATGGATGGAACTAGAAAAGATCATTCTGAGTAAGGTAACCTAGACACAGAAAGACAAATATGGTGTGTACTCTCTTATAAGTGGACATTAGTTGTTAAGTAATGAAAAATCATGCTACGACTCAGAAAGGTTAAGTAATGAGGAGGACCAAGAGGGAACATATTAATCTCCCTGGGAAAGGGAAATAGATTCTGTGTTTACTATGAGATTACAAGCCACTGACTCAACTAAGAAGGGTTCATAGGGGCTCACAGATACTAAAGCACAAACATGGACCTTATATGGGTCTGAGCTAGGTCCTTTGCATATGTTATGGTTGTGTAGCTTGGTGTTCTGTGGGACTCCTAACAGTGGTAGTCTGGGGTGTTTCTGACTCTATTGCCTGCACTTGGGACCCTTTTCCTCCTACGGCCTCATCCAGTTAAGATAGAAGGGTTTATACCCAGTCTTATTGTATCTTGTTAGGACATGTTCGAAGGATATCCCTGGTAGGACTGCTCTTTCTTTTCTTTTCCTTTCTTTTTTCCTTTTTATTTCCTTTTGTTGTTGTTGTTTTGTTTTTCCAGACAAAGTTTCTCTGTAGCTTTGATGCCTGTCCTGGAACTAGCTCTTGTAGATCAGGCCAGGCTTGAATTCAGAGAGGTCCACCTGCCTCTGCCCTCTCCACACCCTCCCTGCAGTACTGGGATTTAGGCATGCATCACCAGTGCACAGCTTCCTTTTTTTTTTTTTTTAATGGAAACGGAAGAGAAGCTGATCTGGGACATGGGAGGTATGGTGAGGGACTGGGATGAATGGAGGGAGAGGAAACTGTGGTTGGGCTTTAATGTATGAGAAAAGAGTAAAGGTTAAAAAAAAGATTTATGGATTTTACAAAGCAAAATAAAACACTAAAATTCAAAAGAAAACCAAGTTTGACTCACTTCCACATGACAGGCACTAAGTGAATCCTTAATTCTATCAGTATAAACTTGTTTATTCCATCCTGACAATACACATCTACACATTGCTCCAGGAAGACTCAACAGTCAGAAATCACATACTGTAGGCACTAATTCCGATCTCCTTGACAGATGAATCCTGAGTAATTTAGTATCTATAACCTAAATCTCAAGAATTTCAAAGGAGATTAAATACTGTAAAAAATTATATTTAACTTTGCCCTTGATCTGTTTGCATTAGAAATTGCTATCTTCCCCTCTTTTCACCAAGTATAAATTTCCCATATTTTTCCTTGTGTTTGTAATGGTTAGGTTTTAATGTGCAGGTCAGAAAATTAAGCCGTTCTCACTGTCAGTGCCAACTTTAGGATAGTAGAAAGAACATTGAAGCATCTTTAGTAACCTGGATTCCAACTTCTTCTCAGCCATACACTTAGTTATATGACTTAGTACAACTTAGTCTCAAAAAATTCTTCATTTCCCACCCTAAAGAAGCAGGGATAAACCAGGTAAAGTGTCACAAAAAAACTGGTAACCCTAGAGGCAAGAGAATTGTGATAATGAGGCTAACTACATAGCAAGAGCATGTTTCAAAAATACTAAATGACTAACAGGTTTAATATCCACCTCACATGATAGCCTGAAGAAGAAATGAGAATATCAGGGTGAACACTTTGAAATAAACATTATTCAACTAGAAGGTTACAAGAAGTCAGCTATGTGCTAATATCCATTTTATCTTTTAAATTTCAAGAAATTTAATTATTTATAAGTTTTATATGATAGTAACATTCCTGAAGTAAAATGCTCCTGAATAACAAGTATACATGTTTGCATTACCATTAAACAAGGATTTAGCATGGCAGTCTAGCTGTCTCCTTCAAAGGCTTCTATGTATAGAAAATCAATCTGATAAAAACTCTTAAAACTATTTTAATTTTTAAAATATACCCAAAAAAGGGAACTAAGCCTTTTTTGAGTAGCCTAAGGGGAAAACACTAAATATTGGTAAAATATCAAGACTTTTTTTTTATATTTCACATCTATGTAATGTGGCAACTTTAAGCAGTAAACATTAAACTTAACTGTATAAATATAGAACAAGGAAGCCCAGAGGAAAACTCATTTCTGAGGCCTTTGGAGAAAGACAACAGTGAAATCTAAATCTAACATGCTCAACAAGGCACAGATGCACTACTCAAGTCAAGCCAGTATATCCAGTATATCTACAACACCATCCCAAATTCGCTCAGAGAAGATGTCTCTCTTGACATGTTCAATTTTATTGGTAAGAAAACTATCTTGAAAATTAGTTGGTAAAATGTAGCATTAATAAAATGCTACTGGTGATAAGTTATTCTGTAAAGTAAACTAGAGTGAGCTACAGGGAGATGAGATATATGAGGACATGCTTAAGCTAACCTTCACAAGGGAAGCTGCCCGTTACCATTTTCACCTGTAGAAGTCTGAATAGTACACCTACTTTGACCCTACGTCAACACCCTCAATAAAAGAAATACTACATTTTTCTGGCTTTGAGTTACTTGCAAAATGAATATAAATTATTTTAACCCCTATCTGTAACAGTACTCAAAAGAATCAATTATATTGACTAAAGTAGCAGCACTCTCTCAGAATGGCACAGTGACAGAAAAGGTCAGCTCCAGACATACAACACATTTTTATTACCATCTACAGTTTTAGGGATTTCTTTAGTAATGATCCACTCTCCAGGCTGCAGCAAAGACTGGCCATAATACATATCGGATTCCGCAGTTATGTTTGAAAATGCAGAGCTACTTGAAGGTGTCAGCTCTTCAAGTTTGAAGAAATCTAGGCCAGTAACTGTGCCACCAAAGAATCTGCAACCACCAAGACAGCCACACTTGTTTCTGCACCTCTTATTCTTCAAGGTATCATCTGGCCACAAAAACCACAACCTAAACAGAACCCAAAATAAAACAACATAAAAGAAACCTCATTAACAAATAAAAAAGATATAATAAAAAATGACATATTAATTCAATTGTTAATATATATGAAAGTCAAAGTAAATACACGCAATCATTTAGTAGTGCAGTATAGCTTTTTAATCAATCTACCTTTCAAAACAAAACACAGCTGTATAACAGCAAGAAAAATGAAAATAAGAATAATAACAGGCTCTGGCAATTATTTTAAAAGGTATAATCATTCCTTAAAAGCTAGTGAAACCATGTGTAAATGTTCTTACTCATCCCTGAAATTTTGAAGGACTGCCAAAAGACTTTTCTGCAGTACATAATTGTGTGATGGTTTCTAGGAATGATAAAAAAAAAAGAGTGGGAAAAAAAGAAGTGTCTCATAAAATATTATCTGTAAACCATAATTTAAAGTGTACCCATGTTAAAATACATATAGTATAGATTTCTAAAACCACACCATCACTACAGAACCTCAAATGATATATCAGGTCTTTGTGCATTAACCAAAGTATAGGAGCAAAATCATAGTAAGTCTTTATTTAAAATATTTTTAATGCACTCAAACTGTATGATTTTCTTTAAAATTATCAAGTAACTTTCAATGGAAGCTAATACCATGACTCTTTAAAAAGACTTTCACCCACCTTTTAGTTCTGGCATCGTGAGTTTCCAAGAAATGTCTTTGTGCCTCATGTTTAGAATGGTGATCAGCAGCTAATGCAACATCAACTGTTATTAGACCTAAGTTGGCTGACCCAGCTTCCAGCCAGTAGGCTCTCCGTAGCACCGCTGGCTGAAGTCCAATTCTGCAGTTATTTAATTGTTCAATATACTGTCTCACTTGAAAGTCCTGAATTGCAGCACTTATTCCTTCCCCAACTGACTGGTTATGGAGGTTACAATTTGCCACCCGAATTGCACCCATCTAAAGTTGAATTAGAAAATAAAACAAAGCTGTAATTTCAGTATTTTTAAGTATCTTAGCAGAAACTACAGAACTGGTGACTACTTTAAATAAAGTAAAAGGTAAATGGAAGAAACTGAAAGAATAAGGGAGAAAGGGGGAAACTGGCAAAGGAAAAGAAAGGAAGGATATAAGGGTACAATTCAATAATATATGAAAAGTAGACACGCAATAAAAAATTATCAGGAAGGGTTGGTGAGGTGGCTTAGTGGGTAAGGGAGTTTACCACCAATTATGACCACCTGAGCTGAAACCCCACAGCAAATGATAGAAAGAACTAAATCCTACAAACTGTCCTCTGATTTTCAACATAAGCACCTAGGCATTGAGAAGGTATGTACACCCCAGAATGCACACTAAACAAATTTTTAAAACGTAATAAAAAATCTGTTTAAAGCAGGGCTGGCAAGAATGGCAAAGTGGGGAAGGAACACAGGCTGGCAGGCCCGGAGTTGGGTCCCAGAAGTCATATGGTCAAAGGAGAGAACTACTCCTACCAGTTTCCTCTGACCTCGCTGTACACATCTAAATAGGTAAATGACTTCTAAAGAGCAGATGCACATAAAGGAGCATAACTACAAAGGAAGAAGAGAAAAATAAGTATTGAGAGTATTAAATAATGATGAAACCCCAGGAACATAGCCGAACTTTATTTTAAAAAGTAAAAGCAATTCATAAAGCAGAGGGGATAAGCAAATGCTTTAAGAAGCCAAAAGGCTAAAAACAACAGACATTCAAAACAAAAACATTTTATAATTATTTACTGAGTGAGTGTAAGGGAGAGGGTGAGAGTGAAGGAAGGAGGGAGGACACACTACTACCACATGTTGTGCAATACACATGGAAGTCGGTTCTCTCCTCCTACCATGCTAAGGCAAGATCTCTCTTGTTTCTACTACTCTGCAATTCTAACTGGCCTGCAAGTTTCTGGGCAGTCCTATCTCTGCCTCCTACTTTACCAAACGAGTACTAAGAGCACAGCCGTGTCCCACAACATTCAGCTTTTTAAGTGATTCAAAGTATTGTCTTTCTAAAAAATGCATACCATGGGTGTAAATACAACCTGCTATTTGAATCAATGTTACAGTAATTCATAGGCAGAAAGTGGTAAGCACACTAACAGAAACAATACTTCAAGAGAACATAAAGAAAAAAGTATGAATAGCCTATGAGACGACACAGTCCTAATGTTTCAAGAGATGGAAACTTGGTTTAGTAAAAAGAAAAAAGAACAATAATTACCCTGGCTAAGAAACAAATGGTTACCTTTATATTTGTAGCACAACCATGTTCCACAATATAAATATCAGCTCCATCTACTGCTAAACGAGTCATGGTGTATTTTAAATCATCTGATGTTGGACAAGGACCAGGAATACAACTCAACTAAAATTTTTAAAAAAGTAGTCCAATTATTAATTAATTATTTTGACACTTAGGTAAATCTCATTATTTAAGTAAAATTCTTGTTACATGTTAATTTCTTACTCAATTAAGTTTCATTCTTTTACAAGGATAACTGAAATGGTAAGATATCAAATTAAACAACTAGAAACCCAGCCTTATGTAATCATGTACAAATTTCAAAAGTGGCAAACTTCTCAATCTCGCTCTTTCTCTGACTATATTACATGTATGTATATATTATACATACTATATACTATATTGTATATATAATACTTACTATTGAGACTCAAAATGTATCAGAGTAAATTGATGAAATAAACACATCACAAGCTCAATATAAAGCCGCACAGCACTTCACTAGTATAAGATTTCTGGTATAAGATTTCCTTATAAAAATCACATGCACAGGCACACATGTCACATATGCATATTTTCATACCATGCATGAATAAATAAGCTATGAATATTTTCATACTTAAGATAATACACACAAAACCAAAGAGCATGTGAGGCATACGGCAGCATAGCCACAAGAAGAAACAGTTGCTTTTCAGGGCAATCAATGCCCTACATTGACGGATTTCCTCTAGGAAAAATTAGAAGGGCAGACTTTCAAGATGGCTCAGCAGGTAAGAGCACGTGCCAATGCAAGCCTCCAGAACTCATATGGAACCAACTCCATAAAGTTGTCCTCTGACCACTACACAAGTCTGAGGCACCCATGCACACGTATTAAATACACATACATACAATAATAATAAACTGTTTATTTACAACAGAGCTAAACAAAATAACATGAAGTGACAAAAGAGGCATATCAGTAGTTGTAAAAGGGCAAATAAAAAATAAGAGCTGACTGAAATAAGAAAACAAATTTTTCTAAGGTATAAAATGTTCTGTATCTTCACGGGTGCTAAAAATTACACACATATGTACAAGATTTGTAAAACTTCATTGTACAACTTAAAGAGTGAATATAACACATGTAAATTATGGTCAATAAACCTGATTAATAAAAACTTTAATAACACAAACACTTTGCTGTTTGATTTTTGTGGGGCATTGCTGCTTTTTGAACATAAAATTTTAGTGATTCATCAAATACAATTTATATGGTAAAAGAACATAAAAGGAAGCACTATTAGGAAAAGATCCAGTTATTAACATCTTATTTGCCACAAAACTGTGGTTATGTTCCTTGTTTGAAACTGCCATGATTTCTCAGTTTTCTGAAGTGCGGATACTTCCAAAACCAGGAGCATGTGGCCCTCTCAAACTCACGCAGGGTGTATAGTGACGTAACACTGTGCATTTTACTGTTACCATAAACAGTCTGTAGAGGCTCCTATCTATCCTCTATGACCCGTGTGCAGGTGCTAAAATAACCCTAACTGAAGGCAACTCAGTATTCTGAAGAGAACACGCAATCTGGGGTGTTAGAAATTGACAAATGCCCACACTAAAAGTAAGTTTTGGGATGATGTGTGAATCGAGTTACATAGACATTTACTTGGTCTAATTGCTTCAATATTGAAATCTATATATGCACAGCCAAACTACAGATGGATAGTATCATAGTGCAATAAGATATGAATCTTAACAGTAAAAATGCAAAGTAATAAAAAATTCTGTTTTCATGTGACCTCATTCTAGATACAACTAAATAACTGGCTATGAATTTACAAAATCATTTATTCAAATTAGTGAGCTATTAACTTCAAGGCTATGTTCATTTGATTTAAAGCTAAGCCCAAAAGGCATAAATGGTTATAACATCACCAGTATGCTTGTTAACTCACCTTAGATTCACAGACCCGACGATCAATTCCATGCTGGCATATTATTACTGACTTTGGTCTTTCCAGTTCATACTCCCGACATACCACATGAAAAACAAACGTCTGTCCCCATTCTAAGAGACATGCCAGCTACAGATAATAACAGGTGTTAATACTATTAGCATTCTAAACAAGTGTTCAGTATTCAAAAGCTTATGAAGTCTAAAATGACCTGAAATAACTCAAAACTATATAACTGCTACTTAATAAATACTGGCTAGCCAATGATTTTCTTTTTTTCCGTTAGACTTGTTTATTCAAGTATCCGAAAACACTCTTTCCACTTCCTCCCCTCCTCCCAATACCCTCCCGCTCCCCCCACTCCCTCTCCTCCTCCCTCAATGATTTTCTATGTTGAGACCATTTATAAACTTGCTGCTTTTCATTTGTGAATGTCAATACATTGTTAAATGAAAATCAATTTCAACTAAAATTTCCACTTCAGCAACTTCTAAAGTAAATACTTTTTAAATCAAGGGTTACACTTCTAATTGTCTAAAGCTAACTCAATCCATTGCATAAGTAACTGCAGAAAAGGGCACATAAAACCTTATAAATAATAAAGATTTAATTTTGAAAAATCTAATTGTCTATGATAACACTGAGTTTCAATTTTAAAAAACTAGGTACTTTGATGATTAAAGTATGTCTGTCTATTTAATAGCTTCAGTGAATAGAATAATTCTTCAAATTGTGTAATTCATTAGAGTTGTTAACAATAAAACACACTGAGCAATGGGTACACATTATGTCATTCCAAAATACATAATTTTAGCAATTAGGCTATATGAACTTTACATTTAAAACAAAGAATACAATAAACATAAAATTACCTATGGATTAACGTAATGTGGCTCCATATAACACAAGGAATGAGAAAAGCACAACTGATGAGCACTGTTCTATAAGTAATATATTAAAGCTAAATTAGTTTTAGCTTTAATATTACAGCATATTTAGCTTCCAATATTAGAGCATCGTTTCCCCTCACATAAAGTCTAAAATTCATGTGCTAAACAGAATTACATATTAGTCAATTATATATGGCTCAGAAAAGTAAAACTTGCCAACGACTTGCCTATTGCTAAGTTCTGAGAGTCAAGAATGACTCCCATTAGCATGGCACTACTGGAATGCAATGAACATCAGGCTGGCATACAGTAATTCTTAGGAAGGTGAGTAAGGAAACAAAGGAGATGGTAGAAAACAGTACTGTGAGAATGAACCTATGGAGACAGCAGTGGGAGAACCTACCTGTGGGGCTGTGACTTTAGCTGTAAGGTTTCCAGCCTGCACATCAATCAGCCATGCGTACTCTAAGGAGTCACTTCCTAAGGGAAGACCTTCTGCTGAGAACATAGCATGTGCTCTCAGCTGGAGACCTGACAAATTTATGTGACCTTCCCTGAGTACCTCATCCACAGGTGGTCGCTGCTGAAACAACAATAAGAAGTCCAAGAAAACATACTGCGATTTCTAGTTGCTTTACCCCCCTCCAGACATTAATTTTATAAAAATTTATAAAATTATGCTATCTGGAAAGTAAGACTTCAGAATTAACCTTCAGCATTTTGTGTTTAGCTGATACAGTATCTAGAGCCCACCACAAGGAAAAATACTAAATCCTGAAAGTATGCAGCTCTCAGGCAGGTAACTGCTTACATTAATGAAAATAATTTAGTACTCTGACAGGAAAGATAAGAGGTCAATCTTATGGTGAGGCTAGGAATCATGATACTAAAATGCTCAAACGAAGAAGAAAACTGAGAAAAGACTATATAATGAAGAATATGGAAACTAAAAAGGGGACCAAGGTTCATACAGATTTTGAGAACTTTATATACTTACAATCAAAAAGCATGTAATGCAGAGAGAAATCTAAGACATTCAGAACTCTAAGCTTTTTAGCTAAGATTAAGTATCTAAGACATACTTAGAGAAACAAAGAAAATATTCTAAAAAAAACTGGTTTTTGAGACACTGGCTTCAGAAAATACTATTAAGAATATATATAGGCTTGGGTGTATTCTAGTCCAATGATAGAATTTTGCCTAGCATACAAACCCTGAGTTTGATTGCTACCAACACACACACCCATGTTGGAAAATGTCTATATTGGACATGTTTCCACTCTTTTCTATCATCTTTGTTCATTTATTATCACCTCCTGTAAGAACCTTGCAAAGTCTTCCAACATGTACCTTTTATCTTTTTGCTCCCACTCTACCAACAACGAAACAGATTTTTCAAAAATGTAAATATGATCAATTCTTGCCTCCAGACCCTATAACATGACACCAAAGTGCTACATACATCTTATTGTGTATTTTTATATTTGAAATTATTTATTTTAATTTCAATTTTCTCAATTTTATCTTCTCCCCCAAAATCACTTGAGTAATGACCATTACTGTTTTGCTCACCAAGAATCTCACTTTATCTAACAATGTTACACAAAAAGTAGAAGCTACTAACTAGCTAGACAGAGTTCTTTTGTTGGGGTCTTCAAAAATGAAAATACATTAAGATAATTTACAGACATTTAGAAAACTAGTACTACTATGGTTTTTCTTTTGTGTTAGTGTGTAGGTCTTATCATGAAGTTAGTGTTCCTGCCTTACTATACATTTTTGAAAATGTACTTTTTAATACATTTTTTAAAGAAAAGAGCTAAATCGTGTAAGAAATTTTCTAAAGGAAATTTCAAATTATGACTGCAATAATTAGATCTTTTTGTACAATTTTATATTAACTGTATGACTTTATATAAAATTTATCTATTATCTATGCCTTAACTCCTCTTATCAGAAAGAATGCAAGAGAATAGTCAATAAAAGTTTCTACTGGAAAAATCTTCAGGATTTTTGACTTCTGATTCATGAAAGTAAGTAGTATATTTTAAATATTATGCTTTGCATCATACTCCATCAAGTTGAATCATAATTCCTAAAAATATAGGTTCATAGTCCTGAACCTGAGAATATGACATTATTTTGAAAACACAAATTCTGCAGGTACAATCACTTTAAGATGAGGCTGTGAATGGACCTTAACATGACCAGTGTTCATACAGAAAGAGAAAGATTAGGACAATAGATGCACAGGGAGGATGTCACTGAAAACCGAGGCAGTAATTTGAGCAATGCATCTGCAAACTCAGAAATACCAAGGACTGCTGAGAACTGCCAGCACCAAAGAAAAGTCAGGAAGTGGTTCACAGTCTTCGGTGATAACAGCCCAACTAACTTTATTGGATAGCTTTAGGCAACCAAAACGGACCAGAAATGACCATAAAGTAAAAAGGTGTGTTGCTTCATTATTGTACTAGCAACCAATATTCACTTCAGAATCTTTATTTTAAAGCACTGAGTTAAAAGTAAAGCTAACAGGAGTAAATAATTTAAGTTTGTCTGATTCATCAGTGAGCCTTGGGGGTCACATTGTGAAGCTTTCTATTACAAAAGCACATTAAACAGTCTAGACAGATAAAGAAGAGCTTTCTTACTATAACAGAATGTGAACAAAGTAAATAGACAAGCAAATCTCAAAAGGATGTACACAGTTCCCTTGCTTTTGGGAAGAAATATGAAGTTCAAATAATGTAGAAAAAAACATCAACAGGATTTCTCTAACTGCTTTCACATCTCCTTCCCCTGAACTATTTTTCTAATTCTCAAATTATATTTTATAATTTCATGTCGATAAACTTGTTGTACCTCAATAATAGGGGTTAATGTAAACCTTCATAATGAACTCAATAAACAAATTTTTTTAAAAATTTGGTGAAATCTTTTGTGAATGAGGAAATTAAAAACTGAAGCATGATTTTGTAATTTGAAGAAACTAAAAATTCATCTCAGATTCTTAGAATTCAACCATAAGAGATATTTTCCCCCTTTATTAATTTCATCAAGGGTAAAAAGAAACTGAGATGGCTTTCCTTTCCTCTCCACACACATACCCCAGAAATAAGCCAACTGTAGTAACTCACTGATCACAGAAAAGAGGGGCACTATTTTTCTCAAATTCTTCAAGTTAAAGTTTTATGCAAATGAGATCGCTGTGATGGCAGTTCTGTCTTTTCCTTTTGATGGTATTCACATGAATGTACATATGATAAAATAATGCCAAACTATGGAGCACATACCAATGTAATGCATGAGACTGAACTACAACTGCATAAAAGTCTTATAATATGAAACAATTTGGGTGGAGGAGGATACACATGTGTGTTTTAAACTTTTATGGTACTGGTTAATAGAATTTATTTCCCTTCTATAAACACATGAGAAAGTCATGAACTATTTCATTCCATTTCTAATGGCAAAAGAAGTAAAGCATAATTAGGATCACATAAATAGAGAATCACACAAAAGAAAAGAGATAGACTCTTCAAACAACTCTTCTATGTCCACATTCATACAAAACTGTAACAGTGAAAATAAAAATATAACCTTAAAAAGAAATACATATGGAAGCTAACACTGTTTTGACCCCATAAGTATTAATAATAAACCTCTGAAGCATTTACCATATATCATGTTGACATTACCTGATAGTTATCACTGACAAACACATTCAAGGGTGACAGGACAAGCTGCAGCATGGTCTCCCTGAATCCTTTTTTCATTTCAAAACACAGTCTTTCCAAGAATGCTGTTGGGCATTCGGGACCATCAGTAGTTCCATGCTACAATTAAAAAAAAAAATCACTATCAAAACATAAACTTCAAAAATAAAATTTACCATGATTAAGAGAATTTGATTCCTCAAAAGGAATAAAAGTACATACTAAACAAACTAATTGTCCAGTACCCTATTTAACAACATAAGAACTATACGAACTGCAGTCAGTCTGCAACACAACGCTCCAGAGTCCCCATTTCCTTGAATGGTCCTGACCTGAAGCACCTGGCTTCTTAGGGTAATATGTCAGGAATAATCAGCTTCAACAAGTTCAGGAACAAGCTTTGTGAAGCAGAAAAAAACTAAACCAAAACCTACAACACAATTCAACCTCCAGAGTCAAGCCTGAACCTTTCTTGTGGGTGGGGGTGGGGAGTGGGAGTGGGGTTCCTATGCAGCCAGAATGCCCAAAACTGGCTGTGGTCTCATGACAAGAATCTAAAAAAATATAAGGCAGGATACAAGATCAACTCCAAAAAAATCAGTTGCTCTCCTATACACAAAGAACAAAGAAGCAGAGAGGGAAATCAGAGAAATATCACCTTTCATGATAGCCACAAATAGCATACAGTATCTTGGGATAACCCTAACCAAGGAAGTGAAAGATCTATTTGACAAGAACTTTAAGTCTTTGAAGAAAGAAATTGAAGAGGATACCAGAAAATGGAAGGATCTCCCATGCTCTTGGATTGGGAGGATCAACATAGTAAAAATGGCAATTCTACCAAAAGTAATCTATAGATTCAATGCAATCCCCATCAAAATCCCATCAAAATTCTTCACAGACCTTGAAAGAACAATAATCAACTTTATATGGAAAAACAAAAAACCCAGGATAGCCAAAACAATCCTATACAATAAAAGTACTTCCAGAGGCAGTACCATCCCTGACTTCAAACTCTATTACAGAGCTACAGTAATGAAAACAGCTTGGTATTGTCACAAAAACAGAGATGTTGACCAATGGAATCAAATCGAAGACCCAGATATTAATCCACAAACCTATGAACACCTGATTTTCGACAAAGGAGGTAAAATTATACAATGGAAGAAAGAAAGCATCTTTAACAAATGGTGCTGGCATAACTGGATGTCAACCTGTAGAAGAATGAAAATAGATCCATTTCTATCACCATGCACAAAACTCAAGTTCAAATGGATTAAAGACCTCAATATTAATCTGACCACACTGAACCTGAATAGAAGAGAAAGTGGGAAGTAGTCTACAAGACATGGGCACAGGAGATCACTTCCTACATAGAATCCCAGTAGCACAGACAATAAGAACAACAATGAATAAATGGGACCTCCTGAAACTGGGAAGCTTCTGTAAAGCAAAGGACACTGTCATTAAGACAAAAAGGCAACGTACTAATTCGGAGAAGATCTTCACCAACCCCACATCAGACAAAGGTCTGATCTCCAAAATACATAAAGAACTCAAGAAACTAGACATTAAAACTCTAATTAACCCAATTAAAAAATGGGGTACTGAACTGAACAGAGAATTCTCAACAGAAGTTCAAATGGCCAAAAGACACTTAAGGTCATGCTCATCCTCCTTAGCGATCAGGGAAATGCAAATCAAAACAACTTTGAGATACC